GGGACATGTCAGACACAAGCGATAGGAGGTGTGTGGCCTCAATCAGGTCGTCACATCAACCTCCTGGAGTTGGAAACGGTTCGACTGGTTCTGACCCACTTTGCGTCTACCCTTCGGGGTCGCGATGTGCTGGTCTGGTCAGACAACCGGACCACAGTAGCCCACATAAATCGCCAGGGAGGAGTCAGGTCTCCTGCTCTCCATCGGGCGGCAGAGGAATTGTGGCTGTGGGCTCACGAGCACCTTCGCTCATTGAGAGCAGCACACATTCCGGGCTACTTGAACGTAGGAGCAGACCTCATGTCAAGAGGGGGTCCTCGAGACGACGAGTGGTGTCTGCATCCAGACATTGTTCTCCAGATTTGGGAACAATTCGGGAGAGCCGAGGTGGACCTATTCGCGTCACGCGTGAACGCGCAATGTCCTCTGTGGTTCTCTCTGAGGGAACAGGACGAACCGCCACTGGGAAAGGACGCCTTTGCGCACCAACCGTGGCCGAGAGTTCTCCTGTATGCATTCCCTCCGCTGTCCTGCATTCTCCCACTGCTAGCCAGGGTGAGGTCAGGGGGGCTGTCAGTGATACTGATAGCGCCCGATCGCCCGGGGGCTCCTTGGTTTGCGGAGATGAGTCAGATGTTGATTGCGCCACCTTGGCCAATTCCACATCGACGGGACGCGTTGTCTCAGGCGGCTGGCACGATAATCGGCCAACCACTGAATGCCTGGCTGCTGAGAGGGACAGGCTAGAGCGCCGTGGGTTATCTGATGCAGTGATCAGGACCATACAGGGTTCACGTGCCAGTTCCACTTCTAAGATGTATGCCAGTAGATGGAACGTGTTTTCACGATGGTGTGTCACACAAGGTGTAGACCCCATGAGCTGTCAGGTGGAGAGTATTCTCTCTTTTCTACAGCTCATGTTTGATAAGCAAAAATCGCCTGCCACGATTAGAGTGCGGCTGCACTAGGTAGACCACTTTCAAAACAGAGGTTGTCTCACTGGCTTTGTGAAGGCATTGAGACAGCTTATGAGGCAGCAGGGCGGCAATTGCCTCAGGGTATCAGAGCTCACTCCACTCGTGGAGTAGCGGCTTCTACTGCCCTTTTCAGAGGAACAGGGGTAGAGGATATCTGTAGAGCAGCATCCTGGTCGATGCCATCTCCATTTATCCGTTTCTATCTCTTAGATATGTCTTCTAACTCTCTGGCTCAATCTGTACTCAGCGTGGCTGAAGGGAGCTCTTGAGCAAGAAAGAGAGGAGAAGCAGGACTGTGGACACAGGTTTCCATCAGGTCCGCTTTGGATAAGAAAACATATTTTGTGGCATGACTCCTGACTGACAGGTTCAGTACAGTAGAGGCATGTGTTGATTGACAGAATGTGAGGTCATATATCTGCTTGTTCAGTTTAGTATGACTCATGTTTTGTTCCTGCCCACTAATCTTGGGATTCCATTGAGTGAGTGGGGCGGTCTACCGCGTTCACAATGTAGAGTGACACTTTGTGTCATTCCATTAGTGGTCGGTAGTGTTTTCACAGGATATTGAGGCACATCTATCTGCTAGTACAGAGTAGTATGGCTTCTATTCTGGTGATCTGCCCACTAGTCATTGGCATTGCCATTGGACTAGGTGGGGCGGGTCTTTAACCGATGACGCGGTATATTGTGACGCCCGTAGGGGTTTTTAGTTGCAGTACTGCGGGACTTGGTCGCAGCCATTGCTAGGCCTTGACCTTTTCGTTTCGATGAGAAGTGTTGGGCTCGGCAGGGAGTACATTTTGGAGCGCTACGCTCCGCCTTAAACCAATAGGAGCAGAGCTCCCCTATGGGGCGGAGCTCCACGATATAGAACGATTAGTTACCGGAGTGTAACTCCAGTTCTATGAGTGGAGCGGAGCCCCATAGGACTTAAGGCCCTGCCGACCCTCTCTAGTCTCGCTGAAGAAAAATATCTCGGGAGGCTGATTGAGGGGAGGCATCCCCTTTTACAGGGACACATGTACTCCTATTGGCTGTAGGTGTGTGCATAATTTTGTCTCAGGCTGATGCTGCCTTAGGGCAGAGGGTAAACCAATAGGAGCAGAGCTCACCTATGGGGCTCCGCTCCACTCATAGAACTGGAGTTACACTCCGGTAACTAATCGTTCTCTGCTGCCAATGACTGGAACGAACTGCAAAAATCTCTGAAGCTGGAGACTCTTATCTCCCTCACTAACTTTAAGCGTCAGTTGTCAGAGCAGCTTACCGATCACTGCACCTGTACACAGCCATTCTGAAATTAGCCCACCCAACTACCTCATCCCCATATTGTTATTTATTTTGCTAATTTGCACCACAGTATCTCTATTTGCACATCATCTTTTGCACATCTATCATTCCAGTGTTAATTACGTAACTTGTAACGTAAATTGTAACTATTTTTGCACTATGGCCTATTTATTTATTGCCTTACCTCCATAACTTACTACATTCGCACACACTGTATATATATTTTCTGTTGTATTTTTGACTTTATGTTTTGTTTTACCCCATATGTAACTCTGTGTTGTTGTTTTTATCGCACTGCTTTGCTTTATCTTGGCCAGGTCGCAGTTGTAAATGAGAACTTGTTCTCAACTGGCTTACCTGGTTAAATAAAGGTGAAATAAAATAAATAAAAAAGGGTATATTTTCCAAGCATAAAATGATAAACATTCAACATTGCCCATGCTGTCAATCCAAAACCATGCTGCTACGCTAAAAACGTGGAACTGGGAAGCTCCGAATGGGAAAATACGTTTTGAACGGTCATCCAACTCGGAATTGCAAGACGGGAACTCGGACCTCTTTCTTTTTTTTCTTTAAAAAAATTATTATATATATTTTTTTATTTTATTTTTAAATTAACAAACAAATATTAACAAATAAAAGAGGAATAGTCACATGCAAACAAGCATACATACAAACTATTTACATTGCCATGAATCCTAAACAAACATCATATTCATTAATAATACAACAAGTTTTAATTGCCTTTTTGTTTTTCATTTTAGTTGAAGTAGTGCCATATTATTTAAATTCATTTATAAAGTGAAAAAAGTTATGTTTTGAATAAAACATTTGCATTTGTGAATATCAAATGTCCCTAATATTATCTTTCTAGAGCTCCGACCTGAAGATCACTGACGTCTTCATGATTCAACCTTGTTTTTTTCCGAGTTCCCAGTTGTCGTGAAAGCACCATAAATCCAGAGAACGTCAGACTTTGATGACAAAATTTGCCAAGGAAGGGCCGCGCCAACTTCCAGTTCAAGTGAGCACAGTCCAAAAATGTAATGTATGCTGCTGCATAAATGATGTAATATGCCAGGGAGATATGTATACTGTAGCTAAGAAAGTAATACTAAGTGTATATCGTATAGTAAGCTGTTAGTAGCCCATGTGCCTCACCCAAGTAATATGCTCCCTTTTCCCTTCATAATTTAGCCTACTGTTTTGACTTGGTGGTGCACATGTAGCCTATAGCCTGTTTAGAGAAATGCAATCATCGAATATTGTAAGAGCTTTCATTGTCTGCTTATATGGCCCCTTTATTTATCCTACGGTTCTGACTTGGTGTGCAGGGAGAATACTGTAAGAATGGCCCATGTTCTGAATTCTGTCGCTGTACATTTCAAAAGTGCTAAACAAATATGTATATTGACTACGTCCGTCCTAGCTCTCTCATTAATGTCTTCATCGAAATTACAGATTGCCTCTTATCCGCTCGACGTCCCCTAATGCCATAGTTTGTACATCTCAATTGTCAGTAGAAACCACATGTGTTTAAGCAAGTCAGCCATATCAGCTATGTTTTTTTTTAAAGGCAGTAAATGAGGCTGAATGAACTGTTTCAATCCGCTGATTGCCAGGTGTAGCAGTGGTAAGGTGTTGGGACTCTGCTGTTGGGACAGCTTTATGTAGGCCCTAACAGTTTGTGGTCACCGTTACAGTGCAATAAATGTATTGTTTACTGTTGTGTTGTGTAGTGGCTTTGCTGGCATCTAAATATATATATATATATATTGTCGTAGTAAATATGACCCATTTTAATATTAGGAGCTTGTTTTCAATCAATGCTGTTCCTATGCAAGAACAATGGACAGAGCCAATATCTTCTCAAGGACAACACCCACGCCACAGGCCACAATCTGGTTGCTCCCCACGAGTCTTTCCTTTAAGAACATACACACATTCACACACACATCTCCATGCATACGCACACTCATCCTCATGCCTCACGAGTTACGCACACACACAAACTGCACTTCTTTCTACTGGTCGGGTGCCAAGGGCAGAGGACTCTGCCGTGCACCAAAGGGGCTTCTACTCTGGACAGAGCAGACCCGCCTCCTACGCCTCGGGAACCAATCAAGGGACTAGAAGAAGGACCCCTTCCTTTGTGTTACATTGTATAAAGTAATGCTGTAAACTCTGTTTTGGATCCTTCTCAACTGTCTCCATAAGAGGCAATTGATTGGGTCCATGCATTGGGCCCATGCATGTAGCTTGAGCAGTACCAGCTATCTCTGTTGTTTAATAAACTGCCTTTTGCTTAAGCATATTCCTCTCTGTCTAGCGTCGTTGGTTTGTACTTCCTCTCCTTATGGTTCCACCAACAATATATATATATATATATATATATTGCCCCACAAAGACTTAGATGATAAAATCGCCACTGATTTTACGTAAACTTTAGTGTACGTTGTTGAACATGGCATGAAGGATTTAAAAAATCGGAAAAAAAAAAAAAGAACTGGTATGAATGATATAATCAGCCGGAAGTGTTAATTTATTGAATGACTGGTATTCACGCATTAAAGGTTGGAACGCATTTTTTATGGGCGGAAACCCCCAGTACGCTTGATATCGTATTCACCAAGCAAAACCGTCCACAATGTCACGTTTTCCTACGCAAGTCTTTTGCGTAATATGCTACGCACGATAGTAGCTGTCACTCAAAGGACATTTAAATGGCTACACTTTATAGCACCCACTGTGTATCGGATCGCACAATACGAATAGTAACATTGTTTACATGTACTTTGTAACAAACCACGCTTGAGTCAACTCTGCTTTGCAACTGCATGGTTATTTGGACCCGAATCTATTTGCCGTGTACCCTTTGGAACAGTCAAAATGAACGAGGAGGAAGACTTTTTGCAGAAAACAAGGCAGGGGTTTGAAGATCTCTGTCGAGCTTTGAATATGGACGAGGAGGCGAGCAACGAAGCATGGAAGAGCTACGAAAACATAAGCAAAAATTACACATTAGAGGTAAACATGTTTTGCATTGTATATTGTACAGTAATATACATTTAGCCATTTTGGAAACCGGTTTACCGCAGGCTTCACTTGCAGAATAGCATTGCCTCTACCTTTCATGACCGACATTTTATGTCGTCCCATTTTATATTTAAAGACGCAGCTTGTATTACGTTTGTAGTTTTACATGAATATTAAATATAAAACTGCATTATTAGTGAACAATTTCTGTGGAAAGGGGAGGAGTTTACCGGTCTGAATTTATGGTCTGTGTCAGGGTTTAGAATAGGACAAGGTTAACTAGGGTTAGGGGTTCCCAACCTTTTCCCCCCAGGGCCCCCTTTTTCACGTTTGAAAAATTTCACAACACATTTTTATTTATTGAGATAGCCTATATTAAATATACCACCAGCTTGATTTTGTTTAATTTGAGGGACCTAGGAAAATGTTATTGTTTTTGAAGCTCATTTCCTGCAATTTTACATAATTAGTTTAACAAGACATCATGACATCTTTTAGGTAGGCTATTTAATGATAATAATAATAATAATGCATACTGAAAATAAACTCTACACCCGATTTCCCCAAATGTTATTCTGCTACCAAATATGTTTTATTAAGATAATTTATATGAACCCTCAATGTAATGATACATATTCTCTTTTACAGAAAGTGATTAGATCAATTGATAGCGACAGTCGCACATTGTATAAGATTATTTCCCATGCAAAGTCCCATTTCTTTGACTCCTCGACTTTAGAAGGTCTTAGCTCAGTTTCTGAATGTCATAGACAAATATATTCCCATGGTCATCAGTCTTTCTCTGGCATTTTACTGCTTGTTTCTAGCCTAAAGCATTGCAGATTTATTAATAGTTTTAGATTGGTATAAAAACAATCGCAAATTGTAAAATGTAAAAATAAATAAAAATAATTACTCCTCAAATCAAGGAAGGTCCCACACCCCCCAATGACATGTTGCCGCCCCATATGTACGGCGCACCCCCTAAGTTGGCAACCCCTGGTTTAGAAAAGGGGGCACTGCTCTTTGGTCATAACACTGAATGATCGAACTTACTTAACATTTTAATAATATAATAATAATATAATATGCCATTTAGCAGACGCTTTTATCCAAAGCGACTTACAGTCATGCGTGCATACATTTTTGTGTATGGGTGGTCCCGGGGATCGAACCCACTACCTTGGCGTTACAAGCGCCGTGCTCTACCAGCTGAGCTACAGAGGACCACTTTTAACGTATGGTATAATTATGGATATCATGGTTGTTATAATAAAGTCTGCATTGGGCATATGCCTTATTCACAAACCTTTCCTCATAAGGGATAGCCAACTGCTGTATCTGTGTAAGGTTTATTTGGAGGTGGTTTGACAGAAAATTAGGAATATGGATAACAGAAGAGACCACTAGAGGGGAGAATTTCTAACATGGCATATCTCATCTCTGGCCCCACCAGCTCTGACTGGTGTCCTTAATAGGGAGATAGAGCCTGGGACAGAAAAAGTAACACTCTCTCTCTCTCTCTCTTTCTCCATCCCCCTTTCTTACAGGGCAGTGAGCTACACTGGTTAGCCTGTGCTCTCTATGTGGCCTGCAGGACAGCCGTACCAACGGTGGGTAAGGGCACAGCAGAGGGAAACTATGTCTCTCTGACCAGGATCCTCAGCTGTTCAGAACAAAGGTACGTACGCCCAGGCACTCATCCCTATGGTCCGGTTTCGGGGACACAGATTAAGCCTAATCCTAGACAATGGAGATTATACATTGAACGGGCCTCTTAGTCAAGTACTAGGCTCAATCTGTGTCCAGGAAACTGGCCCTAAATGTGCCCCACTTCATATGTAACTTACTAAAGGACTTTCACACAAAGTCCTCCATAGATTTGCATAACAGTCAATATGGTTTCTTGCTTAGTTCTTGGATTCTGATTCCAACCTGCTTCTTTGTGTAATAAATTATGTATTAATGTTAAGTAATGCTGAACAAGGAACCACACACCTACTAACCACAGAACTGTCCTATGTAATATATAATGAATGAACTGGAAAATACTGGCATTTCTCAAACAGTTGACCTGTTTCTGATTGCAGCCTCATTGAGTTCTTTAACAAGATGAAGAAATGGCAGGACATGGCAAGTCTGCCCCAAGACTTTCGCCAGAGCACGGAGAAGCTGGAGAGGAATTTCACAATTTCCGCCGTCATCTTCAAGAAATACGTCCCCATATTCAAAGCCATCTTTAAGGCGCCCTCTGACGACCCACCCAGAGTCCACAGGAGCCGCAAACAGAGGTGAGTTAGTCGTTGAAACTGTAGCTCGCTATTTTATACAGTAGTTTGACCGCTCTTGGACAAAGCCAAGTAGTTGTGTGCACTCACTACTGTAAATTGTTCTGGATAAGATCATCTGCTAAATGGCTAAAATGTAAACATTTAATTGTTTCTATCCTGGTGCCAGCCAGATCGTGATATCTCTGAGCACAGTGGTCAGTCTGCTTGACCAGACTGACCACTGACTTATTCTGATTTAGACGCCATCCCTGCACCGTCGCTGAAGTCTTCAACTTTTGCTGGATTCTGTTTGTCCACGCTAAAGGTGAGTACTTCTGTTTTGTTCATGGCAAAAGACAGGAAAAGAGGGGAGGACAGAGGGAAAGGACTAGGGCTCAGTGGGGTACTGAGAAAAGGCTATATGAAGTGATCACTACTTGGTTACTCACAAAGTATAAGTGACAAGGGCTAGCTACTCTACACTGGGCACTGGGCATGCCAAGGCCTGCACTGAGTTGTTGGCATCAGCAGGAGAACAGAGAACAGAGACCAGAGGCCAGGGCAAGCAGATGTGTCATTTTTATATCTCCTTAATCCTTAATAAGAACTCATGCACACACACAACCAGATCTTTAGAGGTGCGTGCTCAGTCCCCTCCTGTACTCCTTGTTCACCCACGACTGCGTGGCTGCGCACGACTCCAACACCATCATTAAGTTTGCAGACGACATGGTGGTGGTAGGCCTGATCACAGACAATGATGAGACAGCCTATAGGGAGGAGGTCAGGGACCTGGGAGTGGGGTGCCAGGACAACAACATGTCCCTCAATGTGGGCAAGACAAAGGAGCTTATCATGGATTACAGGAAACAGAGGGATGAACACGCCCCCATTCACATCGACAGGGCTGTAGTAGAGCGGGTCGAGAGCTTCAAGTTCCTCAGTTGTCCACATCACTATGGACTTATCATGGTCCAAACACACCAACACAGTCATGAAGAGGCACGAAAACGCCTCTTCCCCCTCAGGAGGCTGAAAAGATTTGGCATGGGCCCTCAGATCCTCAAAGTTATACAGCTGCACCATTGAGAGCATCTTGACTGGCTGCATCACTGCTTGTTATGGCAACTGCTCGGCATTTGACCGCAAGTCGCTACAGAGGGTAGTGCGAACGGCCCAGTACATCACTGGGGCCGAATTCCCTGCCATCCATGACCTCAATACCAGGCGGTGTCAGAGGAAGGCCCTAAAAATGGTCAAAGACTCCAGCCACCCAAGTCATAGACTGTTCTCTCTGCTACCGCACGTCAAGTGGTACCGGAGCACCAAGTCTGTGCTCAAAAGGCACCTGAACAGCTTCTACCCCCAAGCCATAAGACTGCTGAACAGTTAATCAAATGGCTACCCGGACTATTTACATTGACCCCCTGTATTATTTATTTATTTATCTTAATTGTTTTGCACTGACTCTATGCACACTCACTAGACTCTACACTCTTAGAAAAAAAGGTGCTATCTAGAACCTAAAAGGGTTCTTTGGCTGTCCACATAGGAGGACCCTTTGAAGAACAATTTTTGGTTCCAGGTAGAACCCTATTGGGTTCCATGTAGAACCCTCTCCCCAGAGGGTTCTACATGGAACCAAAAATAGTTCTACATGAACCAAAAAGGGTTCTGCCTGGAACCAAAAAAGGGTTATCCTATGGGGACAGCTGAAGAGCCCTTTTGGAACCCTTTTTTCTAAGATTGTACTCACACATACTAGACTGAATTTGATTTGATTTTACTAGTGTTTGTTAGTTGAATTAGGTGAAAGGTGACTTTGGTAAGTATACTATACTGTGAAATCCATTGTTCTATGGACGTGGTTGAAATAATTACAATTGAGGTTTGAGGCTACCAGCACTACTCTGCAGTCAACAGGAGACATCTCTGTCTTTCAGATCAATTCAATTCAACAAGCTTTATTGGTATGACCAGATCATTGAGTCAAACTATCTTTGTGTCTTAGAAAAGCGCTGTAAAATCCTACATATTATTATTATTATTATTATTATTATTATTATTATTATTATTATTATTATTTTCAATGTCTCTTCTCTCTCCCTCCCCTGCCAGGAAACTTCCCTATGATCAGTGATGACCTGGTGAACTCATACCACCTGCTGCTTTGTGCTCTGGACCTGGTTTTCTCCAACGCTCTGCTGTGTAACACCAGGAAGGAGCTGCTCAACCCCAACTTCAAAGGTGACCTCCCAGCCCAGGCCTGTATCCCCTCCGTAGGTCTATATCCCCTCCTTACTGTATCTGCCTGATGTCTATATCCCCTTCCTATCCTCCTATCTTCCATATCTCCCCCCGCACCCCCTATGCATACAGTGCATTCGGAAAGTATTCATACCCCTTGACTTTTTCCACATTTTGTTACATTACAGCCTTATTCTAAAATGGATTAAATATGTTTTTTCCTCATCAATCTACACACAATACCTCATAATGATGAAGCGAAAATCGTTTTTTAGAATTTTTTGTACATTTATTAAAAATAAAAAACGGAAATAACTTATTTACATAAGTATTCAGACCCTTTGCTATGAGACTCAAAATTGAGCTCAGGTGCATACTATTTCCATTGATCATTCTTGAGATGTTTCTACCTGTGCTCAATTAAATTGATTGGACATGATTTGGAAAGTCACACACCTGTCTTTATAAGGTCCCACAGTTGACAGTGCATGTCAGAGCAAAAACCAAGCCATGAGGTCGAAGGAATTGTCCGTAGAGCTTCGAGACAGGATTGTGTCAAGGCACAGATCTGGGGAAGGGTACCAAAACATTTCTGCAGCATTGAAGGTCCCGAAGAACACCGTGGCCTCCATCATTCTTAAATGGAAGAAGTTTGGAACCACCAAGACTCTTCCTAGAGCTGGCCGCCCGGCCAAACTGAGCAATCGGGGGAGAAGGGCCTTGGTCAGGGAGGTGACCAAGACCCGATGGTCACTCTGGCATAGCTCCAGAGTTCCTCTGTGGAGATGGGGGAACCTTCCAGAAGGACAAACATCTCTGCAGCACTCCACCAATCAGGCCTTTATGGTAGAGTGGCCAGACAGAAGCCACTCCCTGGGTAAAAGGCACATGACAACCCGCTAGGAGTTTGCCAAATGGCACTTAAAGGACTCTCAGACCATGAGAAACAAGATTCTCTGGTCTGATGAAACCAAGATTGAACTCTTTGGCCTGAATGCCAAGCGTCACGTCTGGAGGAAACCTGACACCATCCCTGTGGTGAAGCATGGTGGTGACAGCATCATGCTGTGGGGATGTTTTTCAGCGGCAGGGACTGGGAGACTAGTCAGGATTGTGGGAAAGATGAATGGTGCAAAGTACAGAGAGATCCTTGATGAAAACCTGCTCCAAAGCGCTCAGGACCTCAGACTGGGGTGAAGGTTCATCTTCCAACAGGACAACGACCCTAAGAACACAACCAAGACAGTGCAGGAGTAGCTTCGGGACAAGTCTCTGAATGTCCTTGAGTGGCCCAGCCAGAGCCCGGACTTGAACCCGATCGAACATCTCTGGAGAGACATGAAAATAGCTGTGCAGCGACGCTCCCCATCCAACCTGACAGAGCTTGCGAGGATCTGCAGGGAAGAATGGGAGAAACTCCCCAAATACAGGTGTGCCAAGCTTGTAGCGTCATACCCAAGAAGACTTGAGACTGTAATCGCTGCCAAAGGTGCTTCAACAAAGTACTGAGTAAAGGGTCTGAATACTTATGTAAATGTGATATTTCCGTATTTTTTGTGTGGATAAAATATATAAAAACCTGTTTTTTCTTTGTCATTATGGTGTATTGTGTGTAGATTGATGAAGGGGAAAAAAATGATTTAATCATTTTTAGAATAAGGCTGTAAGGTAACAATGTGGAAAAAGTCAAGGGGTCTGAATACTTTCCGAATGCACTGTATATACCCTCCCTGTCACGGATCCCCCTGGGACTGCTGCTCATTCCGTTCACCAGCTCCAGAGGTCTACGTCACCGGCTTTCTAGGCGTCACTGACCTGGATCATTACCACCAACCCCGGACTGTCTTGTCTCATTATGCACACCTGGTTCCCATTCTCCCTGATTAGTATGTGTATATATGTGCCCTCTGTTCCCCATTGTCCTTGTCGATTATTGTCCCATGTCCGTTGGTCTCATGTGAGTACCTGTGCTCTGTTGTATCAGCTTTCGTGCTACGTGTTACAGTACATTGTATTACGGTTTACATACCGTGTAATTGTGCACTTGTTATTACGGGTCCATGTATAATTTAGAGGTTTACACCTTACATGTATATTTAGAGGTTTACACCTTACACCTTACTGTATATATATGTGTTTGTTTCGTTTTTCATGACGTACCTTATGTTGGGTAGAGAAATAAAAAAAACTATTACGTATTCCTGCACCTGCCTTCTACCATTATATACAACGTGACACTCCCTATCTTCCTATAGATAACAACATTGATAGTATCCAACCAGTATCCGTGTACGTGTGTGCAGGCATGCATGCATACATGTGTGGTTACTCACATGATCCGTACGTAGAGTATGTTCAATCTGTATGGTCCTTTTTTGGATACGAATATGCATAGTTACTGTAATATCTTATCACTTGCATCTAATGCAGGAAGCTGCTATGTCTCGTCTGATCCACAGGCCTTTCTGAGGACTTCAGCAGTAAAGACTACAAGCCCACTGCAGGGCCCTACTGCTTCATAGAACAGCTGTGTGAACTGCATGATGGCCTGGTGCTGGAGGCAAAGGGGGTCAAGGAACACTTCTGGAAACCCTTCATCAAGAGGCTCTTCCATAAGAAGGTTAGGCACACACACACACCTCAGTCCTACACACACACACACACACACACACGCACACACACACACACACACACCTTAGTCCTACACAGTCTACTTGTCTGCCTTGTCTCATCATGGATATTCTGTGTCATCAACAGATTCTCAAAGGGAAAGAAGATAGCTTGACTGGCTTCTTCGATCCTATGAATTTTGGAGACAGTTTGTAAGTGTCAATCCTTATCTGGTCTCTCTGCACAGAGCAGATATTGATAGTCTTTTGAGTGATATTCAAGGTTTCATATACACAGAGTGTACAAACCATTAAGAACACTTGCTCTTTCCATGACAGACTGATCAGTTGAATCCAGGTGAAAGCTATGATCCCTTATTGATGTCACTTGTTAAATCCACTTCAATCAGTGTAGATGAAGGGGAGGAGACAGTTTAAATAATGATTTTTAAGCCTTGAGACAATTGAGACATGGATTGTGTATGTGTGCCATTCAGATGGTGAATCGACAAGACAAAAGCTTTAAGTGCCTTTAAACAGGGTATGGTACTGCCAGGCGCACCGGTTTGTGTCAAGAACTGCAACGCTGCTGGTTTTTCACACACAACAGTTTCCTGTGTGTCTCAAGAATGGGCCACCACCCAAAGGACATCCAGCCAACTTGACACAATTGTGTCAACATGGGCCAGCATCCCTGTGGAACGCTTTCGACACCTTGTAGAGTCCATGCTCCGACGAATTGAGGCTATTCTGAGGGCAAAAGGGGGATGCGACTCAATATTAGGAAGGTGTTCCTAATGTTCGGTATACTCAGTGTATTTGTGTGTGTGTGTCTAGTGCGTCCATGGGGCGTGTGTATGAGGAGCATGTTCTAGCCACAGGGGGTCTGGATGAGAGGATCTTCCTGGGAGAGGGGGCAAACGAATACATCGGCACACCAGGCCACTGTCTCTGTGAGGGAGTAAAGAACCAGGACGCCTCCGTATACAGACTCTACAGCAGTCTGACTGTAAGACGCACACACACACACACATTATTATACATTATTGCTTGTTATGTATGAAATGTGCTGCTGTTATTAGGATTAGTGTAACACACAAACACACATACACGTCTTTTGTCTTTGAGTCTCAATTCAATGCATATGTACAGTAATCCCTGTGTTATGTCTCCTATGTGTGTCCTGTAGGCCTCAGCCTTTAAGGTGTCTACTCCCCTGACGGGTCTTAAGTATGTCCAGGACAACTGTCTGGGCACGCCGGTATCTACAGCCATGCAGAGTGTTGGCCGACTCCACAGCCTGCTCACAGGACTCAAACACAGCCCCAGTGGCAGACTCACAGACTTACTGAGGTATTGCACACAATAAAAATAATAAAATATATTCTATGCTGCACACAACCACACCAGTGGCCCAGAACATTTTGAATGGGGTGGCCCAGAACATTTTGAATGGGGTGCCCCAGAACATTTTGAATGGGGTGGCCAAGGTGGGGCACAGACCCAGTTAAGGGGGACCAAAAAAACATAAGGGTATTAGCATAAAGTAGTAAATTCACTTGAAATTGGCATCCAAAGTGCGAATTATACCGTGACATTCAGGGGTCAAATTTTTTTTTTTTACAGGACCTCCTATGTGTGCGCTTTTTTTTAATGGACTTCATGGTAAAGACGTAATTTAACCTCTACGGGATCGGTGTCCCGTATACGGGACGGTTGAGCTAACGTGCGCTAATGTGATTAGCATGACTGTTGTAAGTAACAGCAAACTTTCCAGGACATAGACATGTAATCTAACTGCACTGTCCAATTTACAGTAGCTATTACAGTGAAAAAATACCATGCTATTGTTTGAGGAGAGTGCACAACAACTAAAACTTATCACGGCAACTAGTTTGATACATTCACCTCTGAAGGTAAATAATGTACTTACATTCAGTAATCTTGCTCTGATTTGTCATCCTAAGGGTCCCAGAGATAAAATGTAGAATAGTTTTGTTTGATAAAATCAATTTTTATATTCAAATGTAGGAACTGGGTTCTACAGTTTGAACCCCTGCTGTCTCTTATTCCACACCCACCCCGCCCGGCCATCTAGATGTGTGAAAGTTAGTGTATAAGCTAATGATCCATCATGTATGACATTCCTGGGAGTGTGTAAACTTACATTTTGTATTACCATATCATTTTTGTAAAATGTATCAATTGACCAATTCAGCACATTTGAGCAGACTTGATACAAAATAGTCCAGTATTGCAATGCTTCACTGGATCAATCTGAAACCTTGCACACACACTGCAGGCCATCTAGTGGCCAAAATCTAAATTGCGCCTAAACTGCAATATTATATTGTGGCCTTTCTCTTGCATTTCAAAGATAATAAAAAAATATATTTAAAAAACCCACCTGTTTTTTTTGTTTGTATTATCTTTTACCAGATCTAATGTGTTATATTATCCTACATTAATTTCACATTTCCACAAACTTCAAAGTGTTTCCTTTCAAATGGTATCAAAAATATGCATATCCTTGCTTCAGGTCCTGAGCTACAGGCAGTTAGATTTGGGTATGTCATTTTAGGCGAAAATTGAAAAAAAGGGTTTGATCCTTAAGAGGTTAACTGTAAAAATGTGTTACCTTTTAATGTGTCATGAACACAACCAGTCATGATGTTTTAATCTAATTGTCAAACAAATCACATCAATATGTAGGTTAAGTAGGTTCTCTGCGCACGTTAGTCCAGCATCCGAACAGTGCACTGTGCACCCGCCATTTGAATGGAAAGGGACACTATTACAAACACCGTAAGTGTAATGACATTCAGCCTACAAAGTGGTGTGTATTCATGATGCCAAGGGAAGCCAGGCTTCACCCACATTTTTTAAAAATAAACAAACTTATAATGTGATTTCTCATTTGTGTCTATCCATGTTGCATAATTTTCCTTCAATTTGCAAGAAGCTGAATCTAATTCAACAGAGAAAGCATCCGAGCCAGGCAAACAGCGCCCCTCTGTCTTAGTATCTATAGTACAAAGACACAGGGGCACTGTTTGCCCCACACGTACTGTATGCTTTCTCTAGTGAGATTGATGAGTCTTGCTGAAGGTGTTTGTCTCGGTCAAAATTATCAATATATTCAGAGACAACCTATCGGATCTAAAAATGTCTGCGGGGACACTTGGGTGGCCAATCAGATTCCACATTCTGTGTGTGTGAACCACATACAGAATGTTATTATTTAGTGTTTTATGTCTTGGATAGGCCTTACCTTTTCAAATACTTACCCATTCTTATATTGTTACCACACTGAAGTGTGCAGTTGTCCATTTTCATTTCAGGTTGTTAGTATTTGAGCCATGAAGGGTGTTATAACAGTTTTGGGGTGTAAGTATGAGTCTGGAGGGTGGTGTATCAGTAACTGTGTCTGTCTTGTTTCAGGGCGTGTGCCAGAGACCCCAGTGAGGCCATCTCCACTAGGCTGAAGGACATGTGCCAGCTCTTTTGTCAGCACTTTGAGGGCAACGGGGAGGAGAACGCAGGACTGGGGAAAGACATTGCAGTGAAGTACTTCCGCCTGGCGGAGACGCTCTACTATAAAACCCTGGAGGCCGTCATTGACCAGGAGAAGGAGAGACTGGGTGACACAGACCTCTCTGTGAGTCTCACCTGCCCTGCGCTGCCCTGCTAGCTTAGCTCAGTTTGCTGTAGCTAACTAGAATTTTCACACAAATTTCCCATTGACGTCAAAGCATGATTTATGCAACGGTCCAAGTTACGTTCTTATATTTTCAGCTCACATATACACTGAGTGTACAAAACAATAGGAACACCTGCTCTGTCCATGACAGACTGCCCAGGTGAATCCAGGGGAAAGCTATCATCCCTTATTAATGTGACCAGTTAAATCCACTTCAATCAGTTGGGTGGGGGAGGAGACAGGTTAAAGAAGGATTTTTAAGCCTTGAGACAATTGAGACATGGATTGTGTATGTGTGACATTCAGAGGGTGAATGGGCAAGACAAAATATTTAAGTGCCTTTGAACCGGGTATAGTAGGTGCCAGGCGCACCGGTTTGAGTGTGACAAGAACTGCAACGCTGCTGGGTTTTTCACGCTCAACAGTTTCCCGTGTGTATCAAGAATGGTCCACGACCCAAAGGACAACCAGCCAACTTGACACAACTGTGGGAAGCACTGGAGTCAACATGGGCCAGCATCCCTGTGGAACACTTTCGACACCTTGTAGAGTCCATGCCCAGACAAATTGAGGCTGTTCTGAGGGCAAAACAGGGTGCAACTCAATATTAGGAAGGTGTGCCTTGCTTGTAAAATATGGAAAAGCATTTGTTCTCTATGGTGGATGAGCAATAAACCTTTTGTTCTGTTGTGTGTCCTTAGGGTATTCTGGAGCAGGATGTGTTCCAGCGCTCTCTGCTGGCCTGCTGTCTGGAGATTGTCATCTTCTCCTACCGACCCCCAGGGGACTTCCCACGAGTCATACACATCTTCCAGCTCCCCGCATATCACTTCTACAAGGTACATACTTGTACTTATACCTGTATTATGTGTTTGTATGTGTGATTGTCCTAGTCATGAGTGTGTGTTAGTCATGAGTGTATGTGACAAGACAATATGTCACTTTCTCCCCTTTTGTCTGTGTGCGTTTGTGCATGCGTGCTTCCGTGGTTGCGTTCATGCATATCTGTGTAATGTATCTCAGGTGATTGAGGTGCTGGTACGGGCAGAGCAGGGCTTGTTCAGGGAGGTGGTGAAGCATCTGAACCAGGTGGAGGAACAGGTCCTGGAGAGCCTGGCCTGGAGGGGGGGATCCCCGCTCTGGGACAGCATCAGGGGGGCCAAGAACCAGCCACCAGCCTGCCAGGAGGTAGGACATCCACAGCACCCCTCCTTATCCCCACCCTACCCCTACTCATCACGTGTACAGCTAGGAAAATGGTGCCAAGTTTCACTTCTCACACACATGCTGAATCATGTGACCCCAAAGTAACTCTGAATTCAATGTCTTGAAAAAGATGGACTGTACTGAAATCAGGACAAAATAACAATATTTCTCATTGATGTTCAGGTGATGCCACCGCAGCACCTGGAGGATGGGGACCGAGGCAGCAGTGCTGGCAGCGCCCCTCTCACCCCTAACAACCATGGCACTGACCTAAGCGCCAACAGTGGTGGGAAAGGTTAGTCATTTAGCTTGTTAGCTAGTCAGCCAGACATTCAGTCAGGCAGTCAATTTGTCTGTCAGTTGTGTAATAACTCATTCAAATAGTCAGTCAGTTGGTTACCTCCTCCCTCCCCCTCTCATCCCCCCCCCAGATGTTTCTCCCTCTCCCGCCACCTTGTTGGACCGCTACAGCTCTCCCCCCACGGGCTCCACCAAGAGACGGCTGTTTGTGGACGCTTCCTTCGACACCCCCTCAGACCCCTCCTCCTCCACACCCACCACCACCACTACCACCACCGTCAGGACCTCCCAGGCCATCGTCACCACCACCATCCCTGCCGGACAGACAGTGGTCACTATGGCAACGGCCACAGTTACCGCTAACAACGGACAGACAGTCACCATACCTGTGCAAGGTGACGTTTGCAGATTAATTACTGTACAGTATGACATGATGGTTTTTTGTACACCTTTGCCCCTACTGCCAAATTATTCTGTATATGAATCCTATATGCATTGTATAGTGGGGTTTCTGACTCGGATGCAGGTTGCTACGCTATGATGAATCATATAAAATGATTGCATACAGTGTTATTAATGAGCAATCTCATGCCCTCTGACCTCTGCAGGAATAGCCAATGAGAACGGAGGCATCACCTTCATCCCTGTCCAGGTGAGTGTGACGGGACAAGGCACGACCATGCTCCAGCCCCTGTCTGCCCAGTCCCTGACTGGCACTTTGACCAGCCAACCACAGACCACCACCACCCTGAACAGTCCTGGCCCCCAGGGCAGCCACGCCACCAGTAAACCAAACAAGAAGCTGGCAGCCCAGGGCCCGTCCAATAACAAGCCTCAGAAAAAGGGTTCCCTCTCGCTGTTCTTCCGCAAGGTAAGGGAAAACAAACACCATCTCCATCTGTCACTGAATTTAAAGGGATAGTTCAGGCACGTTACGAATCTAACTCATCTCATCTTTTGGATATGGAGAAAGTATACTGAACAAAAATATAAACGCAACATGTAAAGTGTTGGTCCAATGTTTCAAGAGCTGAAATAAAATGTCCCAGGAATGTTCCATATGCACAAAAAGCTTATTTCTCTCAAATTTTGTGCACAAATTTGTTTACATCCTTGTTAGTGAGCATTTCTCCTTTGCCAAGATAATCCATTCACCTGACAGGTGTGGCATATCAAGAAGCTGATTAAACACCATGATCATTACACATGTGCACCTTGTGCTGGGGACAATAAAAGGCCACTCTAAAATGTGCAGTTTTGTCACGTAACACAATGCCACAGATGTCTCAAGTTTTGAGGGAGCGTGCAATTGACATGCTGACTGCAGGAATGTCTACCAGAGCTGTCGCCAGAAAATAATGGAATGTTCGTTTCTCTACATAAGCCACCTGCAACGTTGTTTTAGAGAATTTGGCAGTACGTCCAACCGGCCTCAGCTGCAGACCACATGTAACCACGGCAGCCCAAGACCTCCACGTCCGGCTTCTTCACCTGTGAGATCGTCAATGAAACTGAGGAGTATTTCTGTCTGTAATAAAGCCCTTTTGTGGGGAAAAACGTCTTCTGATTGGCTGGGCCTGGCTCCCCAGTGGGTGGGCCTGGCTCCCAAGTGGGTGGGCCTATGCCCTCCCAGGCCCACCCATGGCTGCACCCCTGCCCAGTCATGTGAAATCCATAGATTAAGGCCTAATGAATTTATTTCAATCGACTGATTTCCTTATATGAACTGTAACTCAGTAAAATCTTTGAAATTGTTGCATGTTACGTTTATATTTTTGTTCAGTATAGTTTAAATCCATCCTAGTATTATGTTTCTGCCCTACTGTGCCATATGTGGCCAGTTTCAACCCTAAATTTAAGAACCCCACAACTGTAGCATTTCATACTTGCTCGAGGTTAAAGACTCTGCTCTGTACCACCAACAGGTGTACCACATGGCCAGTGTGCGTCTGAGAGACTTGTGTGCCAAGCTGGACATCTCTAGTGAGCTGAGGAGGAAGATCTGGACGTGTTTCGAGTACTCCCTGGTGCAATGCACAGAGCTCATGATGGACCGACACCTAGACCAGCTCCTCATGTGTGCAGTCTACGTCATGACCAAGGTAGGGTTAGAGTGTGTGGGGGGGATGTCAGTCCCTCTAGGATTTCATAGTTTTTTTTTGTGTGTGATCGTTGCAGGCCAAAATGCTTGATTGCAATTCCCAATGATTTTGTCAATTTTGTCGCGAAAATGCACTGACGAGGGAAAACATTTGTTGACGTGTTGCTTGATTGATCCATTTATGCGGTAAAAGTGTGGTGATTGGTTAAAATTGCGAGCCCTCTTTTTGTAGTGCGGTGATCCGACAGTTATATGCGGTAATATTGCGATGATTTGACTGTTGTATGTGGTAATAGTGTGGCGATTGGTCATATTTGCAAGTACTTGGAAAATATGCGGGAAATTGTTAATTTTGCACAAAACTTTTTTTAGTGCAGAATTGCAAAATCCTGGAGGGATTGGAATGTGTGTGTTTGTGTGGGATATGGGTGTGCGTGTGTAAGTGCGTGTGTGCATGGTGTGTATAGACTGTGGTGCGTAAGGTAGCAGGCAGTGTGTGTAGCATGCTGTGTGTGTTTGTCCTCTTCTTCAAGACATGTTCCTACTGTCCTCTTCTTCAAGACATGTATATGTGTGTTCCTACTGTTGTACAGGTGACGAAAGAGGACAAGTCATTCCAGAATATCATGAAGTGCTACCGCTCTCAGCCCCAGGCCAGCAGCAGCGTGAGTACTGTTAGTAGGGCATTATGCAATGATGTACAGTGCATTCGGAAAGTATTCAGACCCACGTGTGTGTATATGTGTATCCTCTGTAGCTCAATTGGTAGAGCATGGCGCTTGTAACGCCAGGTTAGTGGGTTCGATCCCCGGGACCACCCATACGTAAAAATGTATGCGCACATGACTGTAAGTTGCTTTGGATAAAAGCGTCTGCTAAATGGCATATTATTATTATATACAGTGCATTTGGAAAGTATTCAGACCCCTTGACTTTTCCACATTTTGTTACATCCTTATTTTGAAATGGATTAAATAAATGTTTGTCCTCATCAATCTACACACAATACCCCATAATGACAAAGCAAAAACAGGTTTTTAGAATTTTTGGCAAAGAAAATAAAAAAATTAACTGAAATACCTTATTTACGGTATTCAGACCCTTTGCTATGAGACTCGAAATTGAGCTCAGGAGCTTCCTGTTTCCATTGATCATCCTTGAGATGTTTCTACAACTTGATTGGAGTCCACCTGTGGTAAATTCAATTGATTGGACATGATTTGGAAAGGCACACACCTGTCTATACAGTGCCTTGCAAAAGTATTCATCCCCCTTGGCATTTTTACTATTTTGTTGCATTACAACCTGTAATTTAAATGGATTTTTATTTGGATTTCATGTAATGGACATACACAAAATAGTCCAAATTGATGAAGTGAAATGAAAAAAATAACTTGTTTTAATAAATAAATAACGGAAAAGTGGTGCGTGCATATGGATTCACCCCCTTTGCTATGAAGCCCCTAAATAAGATCTGGTGCAACCAATTACCTTCAGAAGTCACATAATTAGTTAAATAAAGTCCACCTGTGTGCAATCTAAGTGTCACATGATCTCAGTGTATAGATACACCTGTTCTGAAAGGCCCCAGAGTCTGCAACAACACTAAGCAAGGGGCACCACCAAGCAAGTGGCAACATGAAGACCAAGGAGCTCTCCAAACCGGTCAGGGACAAAGTTGTGGAGAAGTACAGATCAGGGTTGGGTTATTAAAAAATATCAGAAACTATGAACATCCCACGTAGCACCATTAAATCCAAACTTAAAAAATTGAAAGAATATGGCACCACAACAAACCTGCCAAGAGAGGGCCGCCCACCAAAACTCACAGCCCAGGCAAGGAGGGCATTAATCAGAGAGGCAACAAAAGAGACAAAAGATAACCCTGAAGGAGCTGCAAAGCTCCACAGCGGAGATTGGAGTATCTGTCCATAGGACCACTTTAAGCTGTACACTCCACAGAGCTGGACTTTACGGAAGAGTGGCCAGAAAAAAGCCATTGCTTAAAGAAAACAATAAGCAAACACGTTTGGTGTTCACCAAAAGGCATGTGGGAGAATCCCTAAACATATGGAAGAAGGTACTCTGGTTAGATGAGACTAAAATTGAGTTTTTTTGCGTCTTCAAAGTGGTAGGCATATTGTGTAAATCAAATGATACAAACCCCCAAAAAATCAATTTTAATTCCAGGTAGTAAGGCAACAAAATAGGAAAAATGCCAAGGGAGTGAATACTTTCGCAAGCCACTGTATATGGTCCCACAGTTGACAGTGCATGTCAGAGGAAAATACCCTGATGAAGACAGCTTGTCTGTCGAAACGTTGGTTATAGGATATTAAATTATTGCATCTGAGCTCCTAGAGTGTGCGGCTTTCCTTTTCTTTTTCAAGAGGAAAAACCAAGCCATGAGGTCGAAGGAATTGTCCGTAGAGCTTCGAGACAGGAAGGGTGTCAAAATATTTCTGCAGCATTGAAGGTCCCCAAGAACACAATGGCCTCCATCATTCTTAAATGGAAGAAGTTTGGAACCACCAAGACTCTTCCTAGAGCTGGCCACTCGGCCAAACTGAGCAATCGGGGGAGAAGGGCCTTGGTCAGGGAGACGACCAAGAACCCGATGGTCACTGACAGAGCTCCAGAGTTCCTCTGTGGAGATGGGAGAACCTTCCAGAAGGACAACCATCTCTGCAGCACTCCACCAATCAGGCCTTTATGGTAGAGTTGCCAGACGGAAGCCACTCCTCAGTAAAAGGCAGGGGGGTATACAGAAGATAGCCCTATTTGGTAAAAGACGTTTGGATACACCTACTCATTTAAGGGTTTCTCTTTATTTTTTACATTGTAGAATAGGTCAGTCAATACGGAACATTTCAAGAACTTTGAAAGTTTCTTCAAGTGCAGTCGCAAAAACCATCAAGCGCTATGATGATACTGGCTGTCATGAGGACCGCCACAGGAATGGAAGACCCAGAGTTACCTCTGCTGCAGAGGATAAGTTCATTAGCGTTATCAGCCTCAGAAATTGCAGCCCAAATAAAGGCTTCACAGAGTTGAAGTAACAGACACATTTCAACATCAACTGTGTGAATCAGGCTATGGTCGAATTGCTGCAAAGAAACCACTACTAAAGGACACCAATAATAAGAAGAGACCTGCTTGGGCCAATAAACACGAGCAATGGACATTAAACCGGTGGAAATGTGTCCTTTGGTCTGATGAGTCCAAGTTGGAGATTTTTGGTTCCAACTGCCGTGTCTTTGTGAGACACAGTGTGGGTGAACGGAGGATCTCTGCATGTGTAGTTCCAACCGTAAAGCATGGAGGAGGTGTTATGGTGTGGGGGTGCTTTGATGGTGACACTGTCTGTGATTTATTTAGAATTCAAGGCACACTTAACCAGCATTCTGCAGCGATACCCCATCCCATCTGGTTTGGGCTTAGTGGTACTATCATTTGTTTTTCAACAGGAGAATGATCCAACACACCTCCAAGAAGCAGAGTGATGGAGTGCTGCATCAGATGACCTGGCCTCCACAATCCCCCAACCTCAACCCAATTGAGATGGTTTGGGATGAGTCGGACGGCAAAGTGAAGGAAAAGCAGCCAACTAGTGCTCAGCATATGTGGGAACTCCTTCAAGACTGTTGGAAAAGCATTCCAGGTGAAGCTGGTTGAGAGAATGTTTAACACTTTTTTGGTTACTACATGATTCCTTATGTGTTATTTCATAGTTTTGATGTCTTCACTATTATTCTACAATATAAAAATAAAGAAAAACCCTTGAATGAGTAGGTGTGTCCAAACCTTTAACTGGTAGTGTACATTTCCAAAATGTTCTACAAACCTGTTTTTGCTTTGTCATTATTTCGTATTGTGTGTAGATTGATGAGGACAAAAACAATTTAATCCATTTTAGAATAAGGCTGTAACGTAACAAAATGTTGAAAAAGTAAAGGAGTCTGAATACTTTCCGAATGCACTGTATATAAAAACTGGATTTCTGATGCTATCTATTGGCCATTGAGAGGCTTTGAAGCCACCGGTTGGCCATATTGGCACTCCCCAGTAGGAGCAGTCCTCCATTGGAGTGAATGGAATTCTACAGTATTTGAATTAAATGTTTCAATGACAAAATTGCATGTATTTAAGTATTTTTTTGTTGTTGTAGTCGGGACCGTAACATTAGTTATCTCCAAAAATTATACTTGAAGGAAAATGTTTTTATTCATATATATAAAAAAAACAATGTTTACCTCACATATAATTTAAACGTATGTATTAAGGTGTCTGTAATAGAATGAATGTGGCAAAAACAAATGTAGACCTTAATAAATGCATTTCTATAGCTTCCAAAATATTTTTTACAATGGTGGGGGAGTGGCAAGATGGAGGTGTGGGGGCTTCAACACAGCGCCCCCCTATCAGTCATCTAGTGTATAACTCTTATGGCTAGGGACAGGAAATTTTCCTGAACTTCAAGCCGTAGTTTGAGCCTATAGTACTGTGACAGCACCACAGGTCCCAGAATTGTGTGGCATTTTTTTTAAAATCTGGGGCCTGTAGTTTTTCCTGATCTGGTAACCTAACCAGGTAGCACTCTGGACCTTACCTTACGGTATGACGTGATTAATCTGTTGTAAAGGGTTTAAAATTGGCTATGATTGGATCAGAGTTTTTCTAATCTGGTCACATGGTTTAAAAAAGCTCCTGGAAAAACTGCTGGCATTGGAGTGGATGAAAACCCTGTCAAACTGCAGCAACCTTGTACCTGTTCATATGAATTATATTTTAAAGAAGGAAAAGGGGGGGGGGGGGTTTCTTATACACAGACACAGAGAAAGCAACATAATTGGACGATGAAACTCACAGGGCTGAGCTTGCTTTATGCAGGTTTGCATCGTGAAGTCCTGCCCTATGCAACTGTAGGCCAAGTGCTGTCAGTTATAGTGTTTATTTATAGTATGACGCTACAAGCTTGGCACTCCTGTATTTGGAGAATTTCTCCCATTCTTCTCTGCAGATCCTCTCAAGCTCTGTCAGGTTGGAGGGGGAGCGTCGCTGCACAGCTATTTTCAGGTCTCTCCAGAGATGTTCGATCGGGTTCAAGTCCGGTCTCTGGCTGGGCCACTCAAGGACATTCAGAGACTTGTCCCGAAGCCACTCCTGCGTTGTCTTGGCTGTCTGCTTAGGATCGTTGTCCTGTTGGAAGGTGAACATTCGCCCCAGTCTGAGGTCCTGAGCGTTCTGGAGCAGGTTTTCATCAAGGATCTCTCTGTACTTTGCTCCGTTCATCTTTCCCTCGATCCTGACTAGTCTCCCAGTCTCTACCGCTGAAAAACATCTGCACAGCATGATGCTGCCACCACCATGCTTCACCGGAGGGATAGTGCCAGGTTTCCTCCAGATGTGACACTTGGCATTCAGGCCAAAGAGTTCAATCTTGGTTTCATCAGACCAGAGAATCTTGTTTCTCATGGTCTGAGAGTCCTTTAGGGGCCTTTTGGCAAACTCCAAGCGGACTGTCGTGCCTTTTACTGAGGAGTGGCTTCCGTCTGGCCACTCTACCATAAAGGCCTGATTGGTGGAGTGCTGCAGAAATGGTTGTCCTTCTGGAAGGTACTCCCAAATCCACAGAGGAACTCTTGAGCTCTGTCAGAGTGACCATCGGTTTCTTGGTCACCTCTCTCACCAAGGCCCTTCTCCCCCGATTGCTCAGTTTGGCCAGCGGCCAGCTCTAGGAAGAGTCTTGGTGGTTCCAAACTTCTTCCATTTAAGAATGATGGAGGCCACTGTGTTTTTGGGGTCCTTCAATGCTGCAGACATTTTTTGGCACCCTTCCCCAGATCTGTGCCTCGACACAATCCTGTCTCGGAGCTCTACGGACAATTCCTTCGACCTCATGGCTTGGTTTTTGCTCTGACATGCACTGTCAACTGTGGGACCTTTATATAGACAGGTGTGTGCCTTTCCAAATCATGTCCTATCAATTTAATTTACCACAGGTGGACTCCAATCAAGTTGTAGAAACATCTCAAGGATGATCAATGGAAACAGGATGCATCTGAGCTCAATTTCAAGACTCATAGCAAAGGGTCTGAATACGTATGTAAATAAGATCTTTCTGTTTTAAAATTTTTTTCATAAATTAGCAAAGATTTTAAAAAAAATAACTGTTTTCACTTTGTCATTATGGGGTATTGTGTGTAGATTGATGAGGATTTTTTTTATTTAATCAATTTTAGAATAAGGCTGTAACGTAACAAAATGTGGAAAAAGTAAAGGGGTCTGAATACTTTCCGAATGCACTGCATGCTTAAGCAAAAGCTAGCCGAAGAGCCATTTTACTGGTTGAAGTTGAAGTGTTTTTTTAAGTATAATGCAGTTGATTTGCAATGATGACACAAACATTGTATTAGGCAGGATATTCATACGAGCCTTAAAATTCAATTATAATCCAAAAGTAATGTGAAATGCACTCATAATCAACATGTAAATAGAGGCTTTTTTTGCTGCCGTTCTATAAGAACTCCCCCTTGTTCTGCCACCAACTTGCACGCATCGCCCTCCTGCGGCAATGTTTGCAAACACAGAAAGTTGTCTATGCAGCTGCTGTTGTTAGCAGCCTACAGTTGATTAGACTGAAAAATGGTCTCATTTCCATGCAATACAGCATGTAAGATCGCTAATGTTTAGGTGTATAGGCTACTACATTTATGGAAGAGTTTTTGCTTGTGTCTGTCGGGAGTGATGTGTTATCACGCTTGCTAAATAAATCCTTGAGGAAAGTGGAGAGCGGGCCTTGAGCGTTGTGCCCGGCCCGCATGACCTGCGATTTCCGTGAATCTGATTGGTCAAGACACGTAGCCTGTAGCAGCACTCCGATGTGAAGAACAGATAAATTGTGCACGAGTTTACAAATCATGAGGCAAATCAGTAAAAAACACAGCACTTTGCCCCTCTTTTTAATGCTTTGCGTCGATATATTCAACTTAAACAAAAGTGATTGACAAGTGCTGTGGCAAATTACACCTCGCCACACGTTTTCCGGTGGCCCTGGAACCATTGGTTGTGTGTGATTTTCTTTACCAGGTCTACAGGAGTGTGTTGATCTCTGGAAAGAAGAAACGTCACTCGGGCTGCAGCGTGGGAAACACACAGAGCTCTCCCACAGACACCAGCCAGAAGCAGGGTAAGAACACACACACACTCTGTGTTAGGCCTGGGTTACATGTTGAGACGCTAACTCTTTTTCCTGGACCTCTCCTCCCCTCCCTCTGTCTATTTTCCCTCTCCCTCTCTCTTTACCCCCTTCAGGGTGTGGAGACAGCAGCCCGGTGCCCATGTGTTCCACCAGCAGCCTACCTGCCCCCCAGCCTGGCAGCACCCCATCCACCCCCACCCTGGCCCCCTCCACCTCCCCCTCCTCATCCCTCCCTCCCTCTCAGGAGCAGGTTAAGGAGGGGGGAGTTGTGGGGGAGGAGGAGCGAGGAGACCTCATCCACTTCTACAACCGGGTCTACATCAAACAGATGCGTCACTTTGCCCTCCGCTACTCGCCCAGCTCGCCCTCTGTAGGGGTGAGTGAGAGAGGGAGGGAGCGGGTGGTTGGAGCTTGGGGCGGGGGGTGCATGGGAGGAAATGAGAGAAAGATAGGAAAGGGAGAGATGAAAGAGGAGAAGAAGTAACAGAAAGTTATGTTTACAACTTAGAAGAAAAGAGAAACCCACACGCTGCTCTTGCTAGTGTCTTTACAAACTTAACTCTATTCTGCAAACCTATTGGTTAAAAGCAAGAGAGGTAGAGAGTGAGGGGAAAATGAGGGGACATTTACAAACAGGATACATTGGAACAATTAATGTATGTTTTGAATAGGTATCTGCCTATGCTCTTATAATATGTTTGTTTTTGTGACCGGTGCAGTCTCCTCCCCTGTGCCCGTACCCCTCCCTGAGGACCAGCTCCCCTCGCAGGGTCCTCCTGTCCCACAACCACTCCATCTACATCTCCCCCCACAAGACTACTACTGGAAGCCCCCCCACCCCCTCCACTACTGCACGGGACAAGATCTTCTACTACATCTGCAGCAGCCCAGCCAACGTGAGTCACAAGTACATACATACTCATGCACACAATGTAGGCTGGTTCACATTGGTTCAGCACAGTACTTTTCAAACCCTGACAGTGACTCATTGATTAGTTTAATCATACCATACCTGACGTGTGATGATGATGATGATGATGAACCCTCCCTGACCTGTGTCTATGATTTCTATCTCTGTCTGTGCAGCGCCTGGCGGAGATCAACAGTATGATCCGCACCGGGGAGACGCCCACCAAGAAGCGCAGCATGCAGCTTGAGGAGGAGCCATCGCCCAAGAGGGTGTGTCCGGACAACCAGATGGCCCTGCTCCGCAGACTACAGGACGTGGCCAATGACCGTAGCTCCTCCCACTGAGGCAGGACACACCCCCTTCAGAACACACCACTGGCTGAAGTCGCTAGTCACTAGATGGCCATGTTAGAAAGGAATACATTGGCAATATAAAAAATATCAACATTTATGAGGATATATTTGTTTTTCATTTAGGGGTAAGGACAGGCGTAAGGTTAGGGGGAGGGTTCAGTGGTTAGTGTTCATGGTCATGGTCAGTGGTTGGTAGTTCTTCTTATTTGTGTCTAGAAAGTACCGTACTTCTGTCCATGGCCAGATTGTGAGGAACGGCTCAATTATTTTATCACCATGGCAATAGTCGGGTTGGTTGTTTAGCAACAAAACCGATGCGTGCACGACTATGGTGCAAAACAGACGGGGTTGCCTTAATTGTTGACAACATGTAAACTATATTTCATCTCCAATGTTTATTGAAAACATAAATACATTTGCACATTGTTACATTTGTTGGTTAGCTAGCTAGTGAATTTTAGCCATAGATGTGATAGCAGTCAAAACACCTCAAAACAAGATATGGTATCAAGAACAAAATAAATGTAGCTAATACAAGCCACCTATGATTCCCCACATGGCAGCTTTTTGTCATTGTTGCTAGGTATCTGGCAATCCAGAATCACATGTCAGCTAACCCATCTATATATTTCTACATATATCCAGAGTCAAAGGAATGTATTTTGTCTAAATACACAGCAAATACAGAATGGTGTTGTGGTATTTTGCAAATGTGCATTTATGGTGGAGTATGATTCAAAATCACATGCATTTTGAAGTCTATTCTAGTAAATAATGTTACTAACTACAATTTAGCTGTTCAATATATTATGCATGAATGCCTTTCAGTGTTTTGAGATTCTTCTGGAGACTAAATGCATAATTACACACATGATGTCATAATTACACACATTATGTATTCTGTAATGTAGAAATGTATTTTGGATTTTATATCTCAGACGTTTATATGATGAGTTTTTTTTCAATGAGTTGAGCCAGAAGAGAAGAAAGCACTTGACCATGACCATGTTCTTTAAATACTTTGTACACTGTTTGGCCAATAAGTATTTTTGAAGCTTTTGTAATACCGGAGAAGATGACATGATGTCATCAAGTCTCCCAGGTTTCTTTTCCATAGTCAGAAAAACATAATTGAGGTTTTATATACTTAATTGTATGCTCTTATTTGTTGTGTTTATGTTTTTGTGAAATCTGTCAGATATTTATGCTACTTTTTTAACTTTATAAATGTTAGCAAGGAACTATACATTTCACTTAACAATGACGAATAGTAGAATCACTGACAACAATATTTATTTTCAGTCTCATGTAGCTACCATTAATTCGAAGGTAATCATTTTAGTATCCAATCAATTTGATATTTGTGTTGTTAGTCACAATGGTATGTTATCGTTTTGTTAATCACCAACTTAGAAAAAAAGAAAGCATATTATTTTATCGTGGGCAATGTTTCTGAATTTTATCGTGGGATTCAGTTTCTGAATCAATTCATTTAAGCTATACAGTACATGTACATGTCTTTGTTTAACTTGTCTAGCTGGTAAAACAACCATCCTTGGAAATAAAAATATATATTTAGAAGTCATACAATTATTTAATTCACCTTTTTAAAGGCAACCTCTGTAGACCTCAAAAGTGTCATCAGATGATATGTATTTATGATCGTCAGTAAGTTATGTTAACCACTAGATGGTGCTGTAGGTAATCAAATCAAGTCTTATTGGTCACATACACATATTTAGCAGATGTTATTGCGGGTGTAGCGAAATGCTTGTGTTCCTAGCTCCAACAGTGCAGTAGTATCTAACAATTCACAACAATACACACAAATCTAAAAGTAAAAGAAATATTCACATAAGCACAATCCCTGTCATCCTGTATACTTCTCACACGTATTAGAAGTCTACAATTACATACAATACAGTATGGCCAATTTGGCATGGGCCACTGAACTATGGTGATGACATAGTGATGCTGTACTTTGTTATTCTTGCTGTAGTATACTACTATACCTTAATAATGTTTACACACAGCTTTACTCATCTGATATGTATATACTGTATTCTATTCTACTGTATTTTAGTCAATGCCACTCCGACATTGCTCGATCTAATATTTATATGTGTCTTTGTTGTTAATTCTTCAATTAGCCATTCAACAGTCTCAAGATTTACATATGCCAATGTTGTTACGTGTCTTGTGTTGCTACTGCTTTTGTCTGGCAATATCTTGAGCCAATAGTCTGCAATCAGATCCTAGTAATAAGCATTTTCTCTACATAACATCTAATTTGTATGGGAGCCAATCTGACCACCGCTGGAAAGAATAGCCAGGGTTGTAGCAGCTTTCAGCTGGACCCTGGACAGGTCATAAGCAATGTGCCATCTCCTAACTTCAATGGCACAGAATGCAAAACAGTCCATTCCTGCTCTTGAACTGAAGCATGTCAAGGTTAAGATAACCCAAACATAATAAAACAATATCAACATAGTGATAACCAACTGTCAGAAGATTTTTTAATCAGCCATAAAATGAAACTAGAGAACTTTATAGATGTAATCCTGCAATAGAATTTCAAAAGGGACAGCAGGGTTTTGACTAGATGGTATACAGCTACGGTCAGCAGGTTAGTAGAATAAGGTGACTCGAACATGCAACTTTTGACGTCACTTTGACATAAACTGTATCCCATCTAGCTATGACCGGACAGTGGGGTGTTTTGTTGTAACTTTAACAAAGCTCTGTCCATTGCAGCAAAGCTACCTGTTTTAAAGATGTGTTTAATGCATCCAACTGTAAGGCATTTATACCAGAGACGGAAGAGGAAGCGAGACATCCCATTTCCTCATGTTGTATCTGGTTCATATCCAGTCAATGATTTAAGCCACATGTCAAACTCATTCCACTGAGGGTCGAGTGTCTGCAGGTTTTCGCTCCTCCCTTGTACTTGTTTGATGAATTAAGGTCACTAATTAGTAAATAACTCCCCTCACCTGGTTGTCTAGGTCTTAATTGAAAGGAAAAAACTAAAACTTGGCCCTCCATGGAATGAGTTTGACACCACTGAACTTAGCAGACCAGACGCAGCTGCTATCACATTGGTGTCTATGGGAGAGCCACCACTTAAGCAGACTGGAACTGTGACCATTTTTTTCAATGGTAAACAGCCTAGACGTCTTAATTTATCCACCATCTTTGTTTATACAAGAAAATGGGAGGACGGCTAAGTCACAGGTGTGACTAATTTCCTCCAATTAAAATGTAATTGGATAATTGACTGTTGAAGTGGTCACCTGTATTGTATTTAACCCCCTGTTATCTCTGTTTGAGAAAGCGTCTGTGCACAGGAAGTGATGCAGTCCAGAGGCATGGTGGTGGATGTGTTTGATGGAAAAAGGAGCTTAAAGGAAAGCGAATGCCTGTCTCCTGGGCTGCAGCACTTGTGCTTTTTGCGTCTTCTTTGGTATGTTTTAATTTGCATGGTTTATTAAATGTATTCCTGCGACTGTGTGAATGTTTTCAGAGAATTGCCTCTACTGAAAAGGTGAACTGTATAAACCATGTAATTATTGATTAAATGAGTACTCTGTGTTTTTTTCTACCTTTATGCTGCTGCTCAATCCAGATCCAAACCTGTGAATTTTCCACCTTTTGACATTGTGTGTAGCTCTGCAGGATCTGGGAAGTTGTGGAGTAGAGGCCAGTTTGCTTTTGCTGTTGTGTGTGCACAGTGCTGCCTCTGTCTATACACTTGCCCGTAGGGCCCCCGACCACTAGAACTCAGTCGGGGTCTCAACTAACTGTTGAGAGTTAGTAGAATATAGGTGAAATGTGTTAGTGCCTCAGCAGTTTTCCTCGTGCTATGTTAGTCAATGACAATGAGAGGTGTCATGCCCATAGGGGGCACAGGGGCACGTGCGCCCTCAGATTTGTCCTGTTTACATATTTATTTTTTTACCTGTAATACTACTAGCCACTGGCTTGAGCTAGCCCAGATAGGTTCCCAACCTTATAACTAGCCACCAAGAAGCTATTTCAAGCTATCAATCAAGTTAGAGTATATACAACCAATATATACAAGCAGTTAGGAAAGCAAAGGCTAGCTTTTTCAAACAGAAATTTGCATCCTGTAGCACTACCTCCTCCCAGCTGCCCACTGCACTGAGGCTAGGAAACACTATCACCATCGATAAATCTACAATAATCGAGAATTTCGACAAGCATTTTGCTACGGCTGGCCATGCTTTCCACCTGGCTACCACTACCCCGGCCACCAGCTCTGCACCCTCCGCTGCAACTTGCCCATGCCGCCCCCGCTTCTCCTTCACACAAATTCAGACAGCTGATGTTCTGAAAGAGCTGCAAAATCTGGACCCCTACAAGTCATCTGGGCTAGACAATCTGGACCCTTTCTTTCTAAAAAATAGCAGCCGAAATTGTCGCAACCCCTATAACTAGCCTGTTCAACCTCTTTCGTAACGTCTGAGATCCCCAGAGATTGGAAAGCTGCCGCGGTCATCCCCCTCTTCAAAGGGGGTGACACTCTAGATCCAAACTGTTACAGACCTATATCCATCCTGCCCTGCCTTTCGAAAGTTTTTGAAAGCCACGTTAACAAACAGATCACCGACCATTTCGAATCACACCGTACCTTCTCCGCTACGTTTCCGAGCTGGTCATGGGTGCACCTCAGCCACGCTCAAGGTCCTAAGCGATATTATAACCGCGATCGATAATAGACAGTACTGCGCAGCCGTCTTCATCGACCTGGCCAAGGCTTTCGACTCTGTCAACCACCGCATTCTTATTGGCAGACTAAATAGCCTTGGTTTCTCAAATGACTGCCTCACCTGGTTCACCAACTACTTCTCAGATAGAGTTCAATGTGTCAAATCGGAGGGCCTGTTGTCTGGACCTATGGCAGTCTCTATGGGGGTGCCACAGGGTTCAATTCTTGGGCCGACTCTTTTCTC